GCCTGCTGGCAAAGCGCCCCTCTCCTGCACCCACCTCTGCAGTCAGGTGCGCAAGGGAAACATGCTTCACATGCAGGCCAAGGGCAAGACTTGCCAGGGGGCCAAGGAGATGACCAGCGGTGACCTGTTCTCCAACAGCACGGCAAAAGAGATGGGAATAAGTAGGCAGCAGCCACCCCACACTGTCCTCACCTTGTCTTTGCCTGCAGTGGGAGCAGTAGCCAAAGGCAGAGGCACAGGGGAGAGGAATGTGGTCCCACAGGCTGGATGCATTGGACAACCACCTGCCCTGTCCCAGCCAATTGTAGTAAGGCGCGAATTGGTGAAGTGGGCTCCGTTACCAGTGAGAACAGCCACCGCCTTGCTCACACCCTCTCATCCAAGCTGCTGGGTGTTGCTCCAGTTCTTTCCACCACGGCCGTGCAGCCTTTTTCCAATTCTAGCTATGCCTTGGCACTCGCAGCTGCAGGAGCCCAGCACTGTAGTTCCCCTCACTCCAACTAGCAGCCTCTGCTCATATCAAGAAGCCGGCGACCAAGCGGGAAGAGGCCAAGTACGGGCGCAAGGTGATGCACTGTTTCCGCACCAGTCCTGCCAGTGGATGGGCGAGTAGGCAGCCCTCAGGGAAGAGTGCTGCACTGGGTGACGCATCCCCCACAGAAGCCAAGAGGCAGGCCTGAAAGGCGGCTGAGGCTCACCGGCCACAGCCCCCCACCCCCGAGGTGGCCCTTCAGCCTAGCGCAGCGGGTCCAGGGTGGATTTCCCTCCCCCACTATTGGCTTTACCTTCCAGTTCCATCCTGCAGGACTTGCACTGCTCTGCTCACCGCAGCTGCCGGCAAAAGTAAGGCCTGCACTTAGCCGAAGGACAGGGGCCGGCAGGTGGGTGGGGCAAACTCATGTTGCTGCACAGGCCAGATTAATTGCTTTGGCGGGCCGTATCCAGCCCGTGAACTGTAGTTTGGGGATCCCTGATATAAAACTAGTGAGGGCAGTCCTGAAAAAACTCAGGGCTGCCAAACTCTACGCCAAGCTTTCCAAGTGCGAATTCCATCAAGATATGATTGATTGCTTAGGGTACTGAATATCTCACCAAGTGTGGAGATGGACCCTGAAAAGGTGTGAGCGGTACTTGAGTGGGAAACTCCTTGAATCAGAAAGCAACTGCAAAGCTTCCCGGGCTTTGCAAATTTTTACCCGGTTTATCTCCTCCTTTGCACAAATCACCCTCCCTATCACTAATTTGCTGAAAATGAGGGAGGTGGACAAGCCCAAACCAAGTCAACCGCTAAAATGGACTATGGAATGCCAAGCTGCATTTGAAAAACTAAAAAGATTTTTTTTGGCCAAACCGGTAGTTAAGTACCTGGATCCAGAAAAGCCTTTTGTGATTCAAGCTGATGCCAGCAATGTGGCAGTGGGCGCAGTCCTCCTCCAGGAAGATGAGAAGGGGAAACTCCAACTCTGTGCCTATACCTCCAAAAAGCTGACTGACACAGAACAGAAGTGAACAGTATGGGAAAAGGAGGCTTTCGCAGTTAGATGGGCTCTGTTGACCTGGTGGCATTTTCTGGAGGGGAACAAAATCACTTTCCAAGTATGATCACAAGAACCCAGAAGCCCTGACAACCCCACAGAAAATGTCCCCTTAAACAAGCCTGCTGGGCACAGTACTTCCAGCATTTCAACATCACTCTTTAATACCTACCCCGGGTGGGGTGGGGGGATTTCCTAGCAGATACTTTGTCTAGATTACCAGAGTATAACAGTATAAAAGCTGAGATAGTGAAACTAATGCTGACTGCATTGCAGTTAGCGGCCTAAGTCACCACCAGGTCACAAGGGAAACTGCATCCCTCTCCCCTGGACAACACAACTATTTTAGCATTCAAACACGCGTTGGGAAAGGACTAGTGGTTCCAGACCCACAAAACCAGCTGCACAATAAGAGATAACCTACCCTGGGTTTCCACAAACTATATGTTCCTGCCAGTGAGAGGAATTAGGAAAATTATGCAAGCTAGCCATGATTCCAAATTGGTGGATCATTTCAGATTCATAAAAACTGCTTTTGGTGAAAAGACAATTTTGGTGGCCTTCTCTGAACAAGGACATAGAAAGTTATGTTGCTAGCTGCCCTGTTGCTAGCTTTCCCTGCAGCCAAACAGCAGCAGGGAAAAACACCTAGACTTTTACAGCCAGTTGCAGACCCTTCAGCATCTTGGAGAGAGATCTCTATGGATTTTATTATGGAACTGCTCGAGTATTCCAGAAACACAGTGATTTGGGTTGTTGCAGATCTTTTTTCCAAGCAGGTCCATTTCATATCATGCTCAAAGATCCCCACTGCTAGGACCCTGGCAAAACTGTTCTTTGTGCATATATATCGGTTACATGGTGCCCCACATCGGATTATATCAGACCAATTCATATCGAAGTTCTGGAAACCCTTTCTGGACCTTCTTGGAACTGAGCAGGGCCTTAGTTCTAGTCATCATCCTCAAACGAATGGGGCAACATAAAGAATTAATTCAGTGTTAGGTTCCAAGTAATGCACCCATCACGAATTGAACTCCGAGGCATTCCGTTTCCTCAAAGAACAAATTTATTTAGATACATCATCTTGGCACGAACTGGTGGAAAGCCTGTACTGAAAGTTCCCGTGCTTTCCACCGCAGTATAAGTAAGAATTTCTCAATTTTCCAAAACAATCTGTCACATTGTCCAACCAAGATGAGAACTGGTTGCTTGGCGACTTCTCTCCTCCTCCTCTGGCCAGCCAACCATTGGCTCATCGGCTAGCTTTGCTGTTCTGGCTGAAGACTCCATTCTCCTCAGCTCCAAACTGTGTCAAACTGAATTCATGTTAGAGTAAACAAGGATATAAACAATCCCACACCCCAATCAGATTCAGGCTTGCGATTCAATTCTAGAGCAATACCTTAGGTCAGTGATGGCTAACCTTTTTGCCATTGCGTGCCAGGAGAGGGGAGGCGGGGGTCACGCGCGCACATGCCCACGCACATGCGTGTGCAACCCCCTCCCCCCCTCCTGGCACATGATGGCCTGGTAGGCCCGTTTTTCTTTCTTACCTGGTTCCAAATCCTGTGTATCTGGGAACGGTGAAAACAGCCTTTCCCACTCCCTTGGAGGCCCTACGGAGGCTGAAAGGGCCCATTTCCCAACTCCCGGTGGGACAGGAAGTGACATTTTTTGCTGTCCCCAGCCTCCAGAACCTCTCTAGGAGTCTCTAGGAGTCTCTCTAGGAGTCTCTAAGAGCCTCTCTAGGAGTCTCTGGAGGCTGGGGACAGGAAAAAACGTCACTTCCTGTCCCACCGGGAGTGGGGAAATGGGCCCTTTCAGCCTCCGTAGGGCCTCCAAGGGAGTGTGAAAGGCTGTTTTCGCCGTTCCCAGATACACAGAGAGGATCTGGAGCCAGGTAAGAAAGAAAAACGGGCCTTCCCCACCCCCGCAGAGGCAGGAAACAGCCTGTTTCCCTACTTCTGGTGGGCCTAGAAGGCCTGAAAATCAGCTGGCCGGCGCACACATGCGCCCCAGAGCTGAGCTGGCGTGCCCACTAATATGGCTCCGCGTGCCACCTGTGGCACGCGTGCCATAGGTTCGCCATCACGGCCTTAGGTCCATGATGGCGAACCTATGGCATGTGTGCCACAGGTGGCACACAGAGCCCTGTCTGTGGGCACGTGCACCATTGCCACAGCTCAGCTCTCTGTGGCATTTCTTTTGTGAACTTCCGTTTCCCTGCAAATGATGAAACAGAAGCTCCCGAAAGAAAAAGATCTCACCTTTGGCAGAGTTGCAGGTATTGGGATGCCCCTCCTCCCACCAGCCAGTTGGTCTTCAGGTCTCTGCTGTGCATGCACGCACACTTTTCACACATGTGTGCATACAGTTTGGACACTTGGTGCCTAAAATGTTCACCATCACTGCCTTAGGTGCTTTATTAACTATCAACTAGATAACTGGACTGACCTCCTGCCATTTCCGGAGCTTGTCTATAATAATGTGGTCCACACCAGCACAGAGTTCACACCATTCAGAGTAGCTACAGGACAAGAATTTAATGCTATGCCAGAACTAACCACTAATGAACACACTACCCTCTCTTTAAAAGAGTGGATGGAACAGTTGAAAACAACATGGCCAGTAGTACACAAAGCATTTGATGAAGCCAGAGCAGCTTACAAAGCCCAAGCTGACAAAAAGAGGGTGGAATCTAAACAGTTTAAAGTTGGAGATAGAATATATCTTCTACTTGTTTCTTGCAATCCCTCCAACCATCCCAAAAGCTAGGATCCAAGTTTGTGGGACCTTTCCCCATCATTCGAATTATGAACCCGATGGCAGTGGAACTGCAATTACCTAAGTTTCTAAAGCAGGTCCACCCCATTTTCCATGGCAGTTTGCTAAAACCTGAAGTGACATCTACCCTGAGACCAGCTCCCTCTCCCTGTGGTGGCCCGTCAGCGGCCTGTGCGGATTGTAGCTGATTCTGACAGCAAGGGGGCTGGTGTGGTGCTGTGCCAGCAGCCTGTGCAGCTGGCACTCGAGTCAGACAATGAGGAGGCTGGAGAAGATGTGGTGCCAGAGGCAGGGATTCAGCCAGGGCCTTCAGAACTTCCAGAAGCTCCTTTAAGTGAAGAGGACGAAGAGGAGGAGCCTCTTCTCGATGCACGGATGCGCAGAGCTGCCAAAAGGCAGGAGTGGCTCCTCAGGAGGAGATCTCCTCGAGAATAAGGCTTGGCCACTCCCTTAGCCTATTTAAGGAGGAACGCTGACTGAAGTAATTTGTAGGGAACAACTTTAGTTCCCTCTACTTCGCGTCTAGATTCTCTGCAAAATTGCTTCTGGGCTTTCTGCCAACCTTAGTAAGATTGTGATTACTTTATCTTTGGTTTCTTGTAGGCTGTTAAGAAAGTTTATTAACAGCCTTTGTTTTGAGAAAGACTGTTATTTTAGTAAATTAAGCTTTGTACAAACTTTGTGTATGCTGTGTTCTTTGGGGTCCGTAGCTGGGGCAGAACAGTTTGTTCCCTACCTGAAAAAAAACACACACAAACTTTGATTAAGATGGAGCAGCTGAGGGAAGAGAATGTGCAGCTTCGGCAGCTGTTAACTGCGATGGCTGGCCGGCTGGTTCAGCCCAAATGGCTTCATCTCCTCCTCCTCCTCGGAGAAACTGCCCAGTAGCTGTGCCAGATAAGTTTGCTGGTAATTTGGAAATGTTCCCAGCTTTCCTTGGACAATGCAATTTATGAGTTTGCGAGCTGAAGATTTTCCCAATGACTGAGATAAAGTCGGTTTCATTATCAGCCTGCTCTCTGGCCCTGCAGCTCAGTGGGCCACGCCCGTTGGTCCAGAACAGTCCATTGCTTAATGACTTTTGGGGGTTTTGTGAGCACTTGCAGCAAATGTACGAGGACCCTATCAAAGAACAAACATTCACCACATGGTTGAAGTCCTTGAAGCAAGGCCGGCTACCCCTACAGGAATACATGAGTGAATTTCGTTTGTTAAGCCAGGATTCAGCCTGGAATGAGGCAGCACTTTTGGATGTATTCCAGGAGGGTTTGTCAGAGGCATTACAGGATGAGTTGGCTAGAGTGGACATTCCTCTGACTCTTAGCGAGCTGTTTTGTCTGTGCCTCAGAATTGATGCGAGGTTACAGCGCCAGCCCTTTCGTCGTGCCCATCAGGAACCCCGTGTGAACCCAGTTGTACGTGAGGCTCTGGCTCCAAGGGAGGAGCCCATGGAAATCGGTGCAGCCACACCCCGCCTATCCATAGCTGAGAAGGATAGACAATGGGCAGGGGGGTTGTGCTTATATTGTGGGGAGCCTGGACACTTTGCTGCCTCTTGCCCCAAGAAGGAGGGCATCGGCTCCTGGTCCTATACCACAGTCACAGTCTACCCTGTCGGGAAATGGCCAGAGCCCGATCTAGGGGAGACCCTGGGTCAGGCACATACCAACACCGGCTCATGCCCTGCCGAGGTGGATTCTGGACCCCCCTCGTCATTTGATTTTAAACACCAAAGTTTTCATTGCCAATAACCCCCAAGGGATCCCGGCTCATGCTTTGGTGGACTCCGGTGCGACGACCAATTTCATGGACGAAGCATTTGCCAATCACTTTGCCATTCCCTCATGTCCAGTGGATCCTCCCATGGTCGTGGAGACCATTGATGGTCGGGTGCTTCTGTCTGGACCGATTAAGGCCGCCACTCAACCCATGCGTCTGACCATCAGTAAGCATGAGGAGGCCATCCAATTTTATATCACATCCAGATTACATTTTCCTTTGGTTTTAGGGCTGGCATGGCTTCGGACTCATGATCCACACATCCTTTGGTCCCAGAATTTTATGTCGTTCCCGAGCCTGCAATGTGTGGATCATACTCGTCAAGTCTGCGCAGGCCAGGTGCAGGGTCCACCTGCGGTATCTTTGCCGGCTGATCTCTCGGACTTTGTGGACGTTTTTAGCGAGAAAGAGGCAGACCAATTGCCCCAACACCGGTCGTACTATTGTCCCATTGACTTAATCCCAGACTCACTGTTCCCTGTAGCGAGGTTGTATTTTATGTCGGACCCTGAATTGGCTGCATTAAGAGAATTTGTGGACAAAAACCTGGCCCGGGGTTTTATCCGGCTCTCGTCATCGCCCTTGTCCGTTTATATCCTTCCATCAGTAATTTCAGTTGTGAGTTTCATTCCACCAAGTTTCAGTAATGACAACTATATTACACTTGCCCTTGTGTACTAATACTTCAAATTCATCCTGTTTGTTCCCCAAACTTTTAAGCGTTAGTGTACAGCATCTCAGTCTTTTATGGCTGACCCTAGGTATACTTCCCACATCTGCTAGTTCAGAGGTCTCCAATCTTTTGGACCACCAAATTCATAATTTTAAATCCTGCAGACCACTGGGGGGGGGGCGGAGGCTCAGCCGCCTTTCGGGCCTACCTGTCTGTTTCTGCGAGGCCTGCGGGTGGGAGGCCCAAGAGAAAGTGCCTGTTCAGGCACACAGCCTGGAAACCTCTTTTATGTTCCTTCTGTCAAGAAGCTTGGTCAATCTGTATGAAGGAAAACAAAGATGGGCAGACTGACGGTGGCTTGCTGACATTGGTGGGAAAGTCGGTCCAGTCCTGTAGTAGTCACAGGACTGGCCCTTTGGTCATCCCGAAGCAGCTCTTCCACCCAGGTGCACCGGCCTGCAGGGGAGCTGCCTGTTCCCTGACAGGCCACTGCACCTGGGTGGAGGAGCTGCTCTGGGATGAACAAAGGGCCAGTCCTATGACTACTACACCTCTGGCATATGGGACTGGCCCATGGTGGGGCTGGAAATCTCCACCATAGGGGGTGGCACGTGCAATGTACAACTTTGCAGGTGGTGCAACGTGCAAAATGCAGTGCAGCCTTCGCTGGATGGAACGAGATAATGATGCTGTTGTAGAGGGGGGGCAGCTCAAGCGGACTGAAGCAGCAGTAGAGATGGCTGGAAGGTGTGGGAGCAAAGCGCTACTTGCATTTGTGTGGCATCAGCATTCCGCCTTCGCTGTGGTATATTTATGCTAGCTGGTGGCGCAAAGGTAGCCTCCTGCTGCTTGGGGCTTGGAGCGGTAATCCATGTCTGATAAGCACTACAACAGAGAGAAGCAGCCGGAGTCAAGCCTAGCTTTGCTGTCCATTGCGAACACTAGATCAGCCCCCTGCAAACTCTCGTCTTTTGAGGAGCCCGGTTGAAGTTTCCTGTGCCACTTCAGAGCGCGCTTCTTGAGAGACGAGAGTTTGCAGAAAGGCGATATAGCGTCTGGGCTGGCTACAAGAGAAATGTTTATTCTCGGCCACATTTGAGATTTCTAGCTGCAATGGACAGCAATGGACAGCTTGACCCCGGGCACTTCTCTCCCATCCTGTCCCTGGGAGTAAAAGCGCTAAAGTGTGAGCGGCGTGGGAACTTCGGCCAGCTCCTCAAGAGAAATGCAAAGATTTCTCTATAGATCACCAACATTTTCTCGCAGACCACCAGTGATCCACGGATCACTGGTTGGTGATCACTGTCCTAGTTTGTATCTGAATTTTTCTTTCCTCCCATCCCTCTCTGCCTCCTTCGATTAGTTGTTTTGGGATTTATGCTTGGGATTACCGGTAGGACCTAAAGAGTCTAAAGATTGGTCATCCCCTCCCACAATTTTAGTTTAAAGCCTTTTGGATAAACTCAGCCAGTCTTTTTTTGAATAGATTCTTCCTGGTTCGTATTCTTACCCCATTCCTTACCAGAAGCCCTTGTTGTAGGTAATGCAGACCGTGGTCTAGGATATAGTCTATTATATTTAAGCCTTAAATATATATTTACAACATATTTCAAATCTAGGCCCCCGTTTTGTTTTTTGTCTTTCAATCATATTTAAGATCCCACAAGTACACAAATCAACAGGGATGACCACATAATCCTGATTTGATTAATCTTTTTTCCTACCACTTCTGAGATAGACTTGATTATCACAACACTCAGGAAAAAAAAGTCCAAGTTAAAATCTAACAGCTATATTCACATAGCCCTATAGTTTTTTCTCAAGGTAGCCCCAGGCATTCATGAGGCAGAAGACAACATCCTGTTCCAGGGAGCACTTGGTGGGGATGAGCTTTTTTACCGGGCCATTTTGCAAAAGTTGGTTTTATTACATCAGGGGACTGTGGCATTCATTATATGTTGATGTATAATTGTATGATTATAAATGTATATTATAAATGTATGATGTATAAATGTATGATTGTTACAAATCACCCAGACCCTTTGAAATAGGCAGAACACAAAATGCGGAATATGCCCAAATAAGAGAACTACAGTACTTTAGCTTTAATAATAATTAATAACTTAAATTTATATGACCCAAACTCATAGTGACTCTGGGCAGTTATTGTAAATCTGTTTGTGTAATATGCCAAGAGATTGCCTTACAACTTGCTGAACCATAAACGATCCACTCCAATTTTCGCATAGTCTCAGGCACTTGTAAACTCAGACATTAAATCGGGAATGGCGGAAACGAGAGTGGTGGAATGCGAATTGACCGGAACAGAAGGGTTTTCCTTTGCGTTGATTGTAAGCCTGTTTGGTTTGTTTATTTCTTTTACCCTCCTACTACTTTCCTAGTGGCTAAAGTCAAGCAAAAAGCAGGCGTGTTTTTCCACAGTAGATATTTTTTGCAATATCTTCCGAATCCGCCTTGAGAGCCAAGACAGATCTGAGGAAAGCTGCTACACGGCTGCGAAGCAAAACCAGTGACTGCGTCAGCCTAAGAGATCGCCAAGATTCTTTCCTTTGGCCCAGAGGCGACCCGCGGCTAAGCCTAAACTAGGTACCTGGCCCACCGCTTCCCAGATCCGTACCCGGCCAAGACCACCTGCTGCTGTCCCTCGCCCAGAGTAGAAGAGGGCGGGGAATAAATGCGCTCAATTGGGGCTTACCGTGCTTGCCATAGTAAATCTCCTCTTCCCTCGCCATCCCATCCGCCTTCTGAGTTTCCTTGCTCGCGTTCTCGTTTTCTCCCCTCCCCACCCTCCTTCCCAGTCAGCTGCTGCGTTTACCCAATGAGGCGCCTTGGATCTTTCGGGGGCCGAACTAACCAAATCAGCAGAAGATGGGGGAAGAAGAAGAGGCGGCGGCGTTGCCTTTCCAAGAGCCGGCTCGACCAATGGTCCTTAACTAGCGCCTGCCTGCGCTCGAACAGCCATCTACAGAAACAGCCTTAGGACTTCGTGAGAGTCCTGGTTTAGTCTTCCACGCCGGTCTTTTTCCAAAGAGAGACTTCGACGCTCGATTTTCTCAACCAAATGCAACCCCAAAAATCTCGGTCACGAAAAGAAATTACCCCACCTCTCCCCACCATGGGATGTAGTTTTCAAAACAAGAGGGCAGCAACTGTGGTGAAGTGAACTTGGGTTTCCATCTGTATTTCAGGGTTCCTAAATTCGTTGGAACTTTGTGTTTGCAAGACAGCCTGAGTTACAAATGCTCAGCTGCATTTCAGTTTGATGTGTTGTGTGAATCCTGAGTTAAGCATAGTTAATCCAATGAACAAATTTGGTTATCCTTCGGCTAGCTGCTGGTGTAAACAGAGGAGCCTGCAACCAGCTCTCTTCTTTTTTCACTCAGTTACACCTAGCCTTGCTCAAGCTGATGCTTTCCAGCATTCCAGGGTTACAATGTTCAGAATTCCCAAGATCCATGGAAGTTTAAAGAATGACATCACATCTAGAAAGTGCCAAGTGGCTCCATCTGACCTGCCCCCCCCCCACCCATGAGCCCCAATTTTGTCTTGAGCAAATGTTCTACTGCCTGTCATTCTCACATTGTTACATCCTTGGCTACATTCACAAATAATTACTGTTACTAAGACATAATTACTCCACATCCTTTTCTGGATCCATATATCACATTAAACCAAAAATTGATTATGCAGTACAAGTAATCCACAATTTACAACAGTTCACTTAAAGACTATTTGAAGTTACAACGGCATTAAAAACAGTGACTTACGACCAGGGGTGAAATCTAAAAATGTTCGCTACCGGTTCTGTGGCTTCCAACTTAATTAGTGGGTGGGGCTTGGTGGTCAGGTGACTGGGTGGGCATGGCTTGTTGGTCAGGTGGGCATGGCCAAGTTGACGTCACTTTTTTGCCCTTTTTTAACCTACAAAACACAACACAACACAACTGGCTCACCCACAGGGTAAAAGCAGCTGTGCTAGACTCAAAATGGCTCCTGCAACAAGCAGGAACCTCACACAGCCCCAAAAAGCCCAAAAAACCCAACTTTCACACTTTACACACACACAACACAACACAACACAACTGGCTCACCCACAATGTAAAAGCAGCTGTGCTAGACCCAAAATGGTCCCTGCAACAAGCAGGAACCTCACACAGCCACAAAAAGTCCAAAAACCCAACTTTCACACTTTACACACACAAAATTCCACATACAGCTTTGTGAGATTTTGTGTGTTTGTGTAAAAACACACAAAATCTCAGAAAGCTGCAGAAATATTATTTTTTTTTATTTTTATATAAAAGCAGCTAAATTTAAAACTTCCTAAACTTTAAATGGCTAGGTCTAAAAAAAGAACAACTAAAAAAACCCCCAATTAACTATTTTTTTAAAGCTCCCAAAGGGGAAAAAAACTTACAGGGAAGCAGGCAGGCAGAAAGAGCTGCTCACCGATGAGCTTGATTGTAGGCAGGGAGATTCAGTTGCTTGCTGATGCAATGGATTGCAGGGATTACAGCAAGCGAAGCAAGGCAAGTATTGCGACCAGCAGCTAAGGTAAGCAAACTGGAGGCTGGGTGGGGGGAGGTATTTTTGCTACCGGTTCTCCGAACTGCCCTCTGCCATCGCTACCTACTCGCCCGAGCCGGTCCAAACCGGGAGCACTTCACCCCTGCTTATGACCATTTTTCAGACTTATGACTGTTGCAGCATCCCCATGGTCATATGATTTACATTCAGATGCTTAACAACTGACTCACGTTTATGACAGTTGCAGTGTTCTTGGGTCATGTGATCACCTTTTGCAACCTTTTGAGAAGCTAAATCAATGGGCAAATCAGATTCACTGAACAATCAGGTTACTAATTTAACAACTGCACCGACTCATTTAATAAATGTGGCAAGAAAAGTCGTAAAATGGGGCAAAACTTACTTGACAAATTTCTCACTTAACAACATAAATTTTGGGCTGAATTGTGGTCCTAAATTGAGGACTATCTGTATTTAACTGACTTCATTGTTTTCTGTGATGTCTGAATATAGCCAATAGCTGCTCTTAATGTGAATAAAGTAGGAATCATACAGGGTCAGTTACATGAACACTAAAGGACCCTCTCTATTCACATTATTATAAGGGAGAAATGTGCTTGTTTGGAGATTATATTAAAAAATCAGCTAAATCCCATTATTGGTAATATATCTATATATGGTTTAGTAATTAGGAAGTGTCAATTATCATATAACAAGTGTATGTTAACCATATATGGAAAAATGCATGTGCTCACCAAACCCTTTGTCTTGGAAACATATAATAATAATAATAATAATAATAATAATAATAATAATAATAATAATAATAATAATAATAATAATAATTTTATTTCTATACCGCCCTTCTCCCGAAGGACTCAGGGCGGTGTACAGCCTATTTAAAAACACAGAAACAAAACAACAGTTAAAATTTAAAATCATTAAATAATTAGGCTCCAATTAAAATCCCAGAAATTTAAAATACCCCAATTTAAAACGTTATGTTAATAGCCCGGCCTGGCGGAACAACAGGGTCTTCAGAGCGCAGCGAAACACTCGGAGGTCGGAGATCTTACGTATTTCTGGGGGCAGTTCATTCCACAGGGCTGGGGCTCCCACAGAGAAGGCCCTCCCCCTGGGTGTCGCCAGCCGACATAACTTGGCCGATGGCACCCTGAGGAGACCCTCTCTGTGGGAGCGGACTGGTCGGTGGGAGGCTATTGGTGGCAGAAGTCGGTCTCGAAGGTATATATAAGCAGTTATATCAGAGCTTTCCAGGGTTCAGAATTTCAGGTACAAATCTGGCTCTGAACCTGCGCAATAAACTGTATCTGGATGACCCAGGAATGTTTTTCAGTCTTTCATTCCATAACATTTTCTGGCAACTTGCACAAAGGGACTGAGGAACAGAGACCATTGCTCTGCCTGACGGCTGTCCCAGCAGGACCGACGCCTTCCCAAGGAAAATCCACCGGCCGGCCACCAAGACTCCATTGAAGTCTACAGAATCTTTTGGTGAGGAGGTGCCGTGAACCCGCTGGCGAAACAGACCAGTCAAAGGATCCTCAAGTCAGACCAGATCCAGAAATCTCCACGAGTGGCCAGGAAGGAAGCCTGCAGGCAAGTATATGTAAAAGGGGTAGCCCACCGACTTTCCGGTGGAAGAGGGGGTTTGATTACCCTCCTAGGAGACAAGGCGGTGTCCTAAAGTCTCAGGAGTTAAAGTCTCCTGTTAGGATTGTGTGGGTGGTTAAACCGCTGCAGTTTCCACTGGTGACCTTTGAGTTTCAGGCACCGTGGGTCAGTGGTAGTGTTGTTAGGATGGGTGGTCGTAATAGTGTCCCCAGGACACCGTTACAATGCATGTTAGCCAATTTTAAGAGTGCCTTTAGTGAAGACTATGGTGGTCCCCTGTGTGATCCGGATACCTTGAAGATGTTTTGTATAAATGTATCGCCTACCTTTGGCATAAGGTGGCCAGAAGAAGGATCGTTGGATCCAATAGTGATATCCAAGGTGCATCAGATCATTACGCGGGATGGCCGTTGGGATCAATATCCATACATAGACCAGTGGCAGATCACTCAGAAGGCAGCTCCCCCTTGGCTTAAGAAATGTCAGATGGAATGTGTGAGAGTGTGTTGGATGAAAGAGAAAAGTAGGACCAACAGAAAGATAGTTAAAACCAAAGTTTTCAGTCAAGAGGATGAGAAAGAAGTTAGTCGCCCTCCCCCATATGCACCACATCCCGTGCCACCAAAACAAAACCCTATCCACCCTTGCCAGTGGATATGGTGCCGAGAACCATCCAACCTCGGAGACGCCAACTGCAAGTCAAATGGGAAGTTAAGAGTGAGGGGGAAGAAGAAACAGAAGAAGAATCTAAACCTATTAGTTCTCGAACTCGAAGCCAGATGAGTTTGAAGAAGGCAGAAACTCTGGCCCCCTTGAGGGAACTTTTGAGTCATGGAACTGATGCCCAGGGACAGCCCATCATTCGTCCCTTGTTCCAATATCAGCCTTTCACAACTACAGATCTACTTAATTGGAAACAATAATATGGCCCATTAATAAAGAATTACAATACTTAATTGTGAACATTTTAACAGCAGCCAGAATTGTATTTGCCAAAAACTGGAAAGGAGAGAAGATAATTACCGATGAAGAAATTATTATGAAAATGTTGGACTGTGCTGAAATGAGTAGATTGACATTTGAAATAAGAGAACAGGAAGATAAACAATACTATTTGATATGGGAGATATTTTATCAATGGTTTGACAAAAAAGTATGGAGATGAGATAGCATATATGAAATGTTTAAATATTTATCTTCAGTTTAAGTAAAGAATAATTGCTCTATGAGGAGATTTGGAGAATTGTAAGCACGAAATGATTTTAACCGATTGAGATGCTGTCTATAATTGTTTGTAAGGATGATATTTTTATGTTATTGTTGTTGTGTTTTTTTTTTAAAAAAAATTATTTTTAATCTAAAATAAAACTTTTTCAAAAAAAAAAAAAAACAATATGGCCCGTTTAGCAAGAAGCCCAATGAAATAGTGGATCTATTCAGTACAATAATGCAAACTCATAGACCCACATGGGGAGACATCCAGCAATTATTAAACACCTTACTCTCCCTGGAGGACCGAGAAAAATTCAAAATCGCTAAGGAAAAGGTCTTAACCCGAATGTATCCAGGTAATGGAAATGCAGTGCAAAAAGCAGCCGCAGCTGCAGA